CGGTGCATAAATGAGAAAAGTTTTTGGATTGATGTTCGGCGCAGTTTCAACAATCAGCATAAATATTTAAACATAATCGGGGCCACAATTAGCCGGAGACTTTTCACCCTTGCCGGCTGGTCCTATCTTTTTGGCCGCTTTTGTGGTAAAAATAAATTAGACTCCGGACACCCCCTCGTTTGCCCCCAAATGCAATTGGCCTTCATTTGCGAATGAGCAAATAAGTGAGTTAACTGTAATTTCAGGCTAGTAATCATTAATAATTTATGGCCAATAGGCCTCAGTTGAGCCCAACTCGGTCTGTCCTCTCTGTCACACACACTCATATAAGCCAGGCCACAGTGGGCGGGAGGGGCGGTAAGGGGCGGGGCTGAGGGCAGAGGTTAAGCTGGGCCGAGTGGCACTTTGGCCTGACTGCCGTTGCCAGCCACTTGACGTTTGGTAAAGCAAATTTTAAATAGCACAAATACTTGTGCTCCTTTCAGTTGTTGTTATTGTAGTTGTTGTTTTTGTTGTTGTTTCACTTGTTTTTGTGCCAGTTTTTGTTTGACCGGCAACAATTGACTTGGCCTCCGACTTAACCCATTGAGGCAACGGGCTGCAGGTACAAATGAAATGTAAATAATTTAATAGGAATAAGTTTAACGGTCCGCTTTTAAGCCTTGTTGTTCTTTCAATTTGTTGAAGAAATAGCTAGAAATGGAAGCAATCAGAGCAATGAATACAATTAAAACATTGAAATTAAAAAAATTGAAATGTTAACATGTAGTCCCAGAGGAAATATATTTCTAAATTCAAAACTGTAGTTTGCAACTTAACAAGTCTTCCCTCCATTAACTACGTTTAATCCTTACATACATATCTAGTGTTAATTTTGAATATTAATAGCATCTGCTGCTTTGTTAGAATATGATTAAATTAGAAGCCAATTTAATCGTGGCGACTTTCGCTCAGCAGCTTTCATTGTCTTTCTGTCGAGCCCTCTGGTAGAATTTCCCGTATTTCTGCTTCGGGATGGCATTACTCACGTTCACGTTCATTGCAGGCGTACGTGCTAATGCTGGAATATTGATAGAAATCCTGTAAATATCCTGTCAACACGCCGCATCAGGCAATGAAGAGAAACACAACGGAGCAGTCATTTGGCAGGACGAGGCGGAACCGTGGCCAGGAAAACGGGCAAGGAGGCCATGGCAGTCGCTCGCTAATAGCGACAGCTGCACGTCGCCAGCGATAACAGGGTACAGCATTAAAGCACCGTCAGATTTATTTTTAAAGAGGCCACACTTCACTTTCCCCCGTCCCCCGCCCTGTCCAGCGGCTTATGACATCAAATTATGACAGGTTGTGGCTGTTTTTGAGGTATTCTACGTACCATGATTCCATGATGGATTCTACCAGCTACTCGGCTAGGTTGCCATGCCAGCACCAAGCTGCTTAAACACTCTAAAATGCTGGGAGTAGCTACTAGTGAGAGCTTTTCCCCTGAAATGTAATCTCAACTCTGTGATACTATGGTTGTAAAACCTTGTTTCACTTTACTTCCTTTTCATTTCCTTAGGCAAAGTTTTTTTTTCGAAAATTATATTTAATTAAATATATATATACAACATTTCAATAAGTTTACCTGAATAATTTAAATGCAAATTAGTATTAAGGCAAAACAAATAACAAAACAATTAGAAATAATTTTCTGATACTTACATTTATTTATAACTATAGGCATATAAATTCAAGACTCTGTAGCGTGTTGTATTTGTATTTTTTGTTTATTTATTGAGCTTTACAAGTTTATGGAATTTTTGTTTACTATTTTAATTTCTGAAGATTACAGTTTGTAAGTTTTTCTTTGTTACAAGATAAATTTATGGGTGGCAAAAAAATCCCTCTTAGCATCTTTGCTGCATAACTGCAGCTAGTTATATTTCAGACCGGCTTATCAAGGAAAGAAAACAAGTAGTCTACTGATTACAAAAAAAATATTCTTTGTTCCTGGCCCTGCTCACTTTTTAATACTGCAAATTTCCCTTTCTTTTAAGCTGATTCCAAGCCTTATCAGCACACTCCAGTAAGCAGAAATCCCAACCTTCCACCCCCTTCCGCCCGCGACTTTAGCTGCACATTTTTGTATTCCTCTTCCTGGAATTTCACTTTATTATAAAATATTGAAGATGTACACAATCCGAAAAGAAAGCAGCGGAGAATGAAAGGAAATCGCAGGTAGGGGCCGCCGAAGAAAAGAAAACAGCTTCTCCTCTTCGCATTGGCAAAAGACAGGCGAGAATGCGCCCCTTTCCGCCTTTCCCCCCGCGACTTTGAGTAATGACAGCAGCTGCTCTAATCGAAAACGTGTTTAAGTAGCTACCTGAAGCATTTAATAAAGCGAAATAAAAACTGGCAGGGACCGAGGGCACTGCAGAATGGCAAAAGTCGTAGGCGTGGTCATAATTGCGCGGTATGGCGTGTCGCCATTTTGAAGTTAGTTACACAAGACAATGGCCGCTGCGAGCGGAAACGGATGTGGCGGCTTCATTTTGCCGTTTTGTTGTCTGTCATTTGCCGTCAGCCCCTTTTAGTTCTATACGTGCGGTTGCTTTGCGGTTTGGCTTCTAGTTGTGCCCGCTCTATCAGTGTGTGGGTGTATGTGTACGCCTCAGCAAGTGTGTGTGTGTGTTAAACATAATAAACATTCTTATCCCGACCGGAGAGGCATACACGAGCTTAGTGTCTAACAAATGCGCGCCGTGTGACAACGCCGGCGACATGAGTCGCAGGGCAAGGTGCCGCCTGCGGTCTCCACATAGGCATGCGTATATATACACTAAAAAAAATATATGAATACAAAAATATTTGATGAGATTTTTCAGATAATATATTTGGTTTTAAATTGGTTTTAATTGATTAACTCGGACTAAAATTAACTTAAGGTCTAATGGAAGAAAAAGTAATGCTCGCTTTCTTCAAAAATAGTATTAGTGGCCATATTTTGTGCTTGCCTTGATTTCAAGTTGTAAATTTTATCATAGACATTCAAAGCAAACAACTTTGTTTACTATAAACAAGTTAAAATTCTTATTTTGAAACTAAACCACTCAGAATAACTAACATAAATTTGGCAAAGCTAGCTTAAGTTAAGTGAATCAATAAAATTTTAATGTTAAGCCACTTTGGCTTAGAAGTTCCGTTTACTTGTCTCAGTGTGCTCCCATTTCGCTTCTTCCGAATCTCATGTAAGTGTGTGAGTAAGCGGAATGAACGGTAATCCGTCGTGTTTTGAATAACAAAATTTTCCGTACGAGATTGTTGCACACTGGAATTCGCCCGGACCACTAACAAACCGCAAGCAATGTCAAGTGGCACGAGGTGGAAACAAAAGACACAAGCAACAACTACGGAAAAAAATGCCGTGTCCTGGGCCACGCCCAACCCAAAACCGCACTCACACTCGTGAAGGTTCCCTTTTTGTGTCCCCAAAAAAAAAAAAAAATAAAGAAGAACACTCAAAGGATAAGGGATATGCTGGTCAGGTCGCGCACGCACATTTCGCACAAATTCTCGTCGAGTTTGTCAATAAAAGTAAAGGCCTTCAAGCCTTTGGGCCTGATGCCATTGCGTGACAATCGCCACCTGGTCTCAAACACACTCGCATGAAATGAAGCCCCCAATAATTGATCAAAACATAATTCCAAGCACATCAAATAAAAATCATTCACATTTGTTAAAATTGCTTAAGAAGCTTTATCAATGGTAACTACTGTATAAAACCAATGGAATAATTTGATTCTCTGGCTTTGATGTGTTTTTAATTGAAGAATGCAAAATACCTTTAATTTATTTATTAGTTTTTCAAGGTAATGACGAAATCCTTCTTATAAAAGTATATTTCATTCACAACTTATAATTCTATGCTGAATTGCTATTTGATATAATCATCTATATTTTGAATGTAGTAAGGGTATCCTAAGCTCTGTTTTTACTTCTGACAGGTTCCTTAAACTGCGCCCGCCGCTTTTCAATTTCATACTCCATTCGTTTTCATCTGGCACGCTTTCCCTTTCTGGCCGCCCAGCTGTCTGTTTGCCCCACCTGCTGTATTAATGGCATTTATTATTTTCTCGTTACACGTTGACTTTTGTGCGGCAATTTCTCAAACCGAACGCGTCGTTCGCCGGAGAAGCAACAAACGATAACAGCTGACAAGGATAAAGTGCAAACGCTGTCAACGGAGTCGGTCCAAATACAAGTAGTTGGCCAGACCAAGCACCAGCACCTGGACATCCTGTAACCGACTAAGAGATCCTGTCGGTGTCCTCGACTTCGGATTTGCCGGCCTGGGCAGGCAGTTTTTCTTAATTTCGGTGAATCTGCTAGGCCAGCGATAAAGCACTTGGCACAGCGCCTTGTTTGGCCTTTAAATTTAAATTTATAACACCCGACAAGTCGCGCCGCCTCGCTGGGGAAATAGGTCGCGCTTAGTTAATTGGACTGGCTGATGAATTGTTGAGCCGTTGGCAAATTAACCCTCATCAGGCTTGGAGGGGTCGTTCGGCGTCAACTTCCCGCATCCAAGACCTCGCACTTCTGCACACATGGACACGCACGTAGGACCGGTGCCGTGGCAGATAAATTGGGCAGATATGTTCTTACACAAACGAAAAAATGATCGTTTGACTTCCTGAAGTAATGTTAATTTTATTTTTTTTATTGCAAACTTCCTTGGACTTAATTACATAAATAAGTATACTCCAAAAAAGATTTAGGCGACATTTTCATCACGATTATCATTATTTTTGGGAAAGCACAGCAATTTTGAACAAAAACAAATTTAAAATTTGTTATTTATAGATCTATAACATTTGATAAAAATAAATAGTTTTTTAGATCATTTTGTTTAATATTGGCAAACCAAATTATATTTCTGAGAAAAATATCATAGTAGCCAACTTAAATATATTACACATATTCCCTTTTTAAAGGATAATATATTCTTAAATATTTGTTCTGTTACTTTCTTCAACAGCACAATCACTGAGTCTGCTTTCAAAAAACACTCACACATTTATAAATTAGAAATGATTATCAGAAAAAGTCTGGTTACGTTGTTAATTATGTCCTTTTTACGATGCCAAGTAGCGGCGAATGGCGATTTTCCGGATTTACCAGAACCGCAGTGCTCAGACTGTCAGCACATTCAGACGAAATGTACGATTTCCAAGTCTGGTGTATTCTGCACAAACAACACGGATAGGCTAAACATTCACTTTTCGAAGGGTAAAGCTGATCATAACTCAGACTTACACGCCTGTGTACCAGAAAAATACGCTATCAAAGGTATGTATATTGATAAAAGTCGGATCTAGATCACTTTTGTGTCTTTTAAGGTCCGATTTTGGACTGGTGCTGCTTCTGGGCGCCGAAGTTGGGCTGCCAGCAATTGGCGGGAACCCTCTACCTAAACCACTCGGACTGCGGTATCTGCCGACACTCCTGTGTCTGCGACGAGGACAGAGACAATGGGGTGGTCAGACTCTCGCCCACCAGATGGGGTGCTTTGCTGGGCTTTGTGGCTCTTCTGCTTTGGATTTGTCTACAGTCTTGAGAATCGTTGCTTTGCATATCACAGGAAATTCAATAAGGTTGCCTGCATGGGGGACTTTCGAGTGCCTGGCCAGAGACCGAAAAACAAAGTGGCCATTGCACTAAGCCAAGGCGCATACAAATCAAGTCAACAATGGCTCTCCTACTGTCCCCAAACGACGCAAAGCACATGCCTCTGGCCAAAAGGGGGGGAACACGATATTGTTTCTGTTTGTTTTTTCCCGGCAAGTACCAGTGTTGACAGATATTCAAAAGAAAAACATCATTTTTTTGACAAAACTGGGATTAAAATGACAGACAAAAAACGGAAATTAAAAAAATTCATTGTGAATGGATTGATGGCTTTCGAATACACAGAGTAGATATTCAATAGTACATATGAACACAAAAAAAAATAGACAGCGTTCTTTGGCTTGAGTAAAAAAGATTAGCATAAGTAAATTTTTAGTACATTTTAATAATTTAGTTTAATATAACATATGATGTGATTGTTTCCGGGAAAAGCTAAGTTTTAGTACAATTTTAAATCGATTTAATTTTTGTATTTTATAAATTTAGTTGAAGTTAAAATGTTTTAAATTGCTTAAAATGGTTTTAGTCATGTTTAAATACACAGTGCTTGTGTTTCCATAACTAGTATCTGATCTGAACTTAAGCTTAGTTAGTTTACTTGTATTTAAATCGCCCACTACTGCAAAATCTTGCTTTGTGCGTTTAAAATTACATTTTAGGCATGCCTTCGTTCTAGCAGTGGTCAATAAAGTTGTTATCAAAATGGGGATTTATTAATTGCTTGCAATCTAGGTTCTTCATTTTAAAGAGTCTAAATATATACACATTTTGCAATGGGCTAAAATAGAGCAAGCAGTATGGACCCAGGCCTTTGTCTGCAAGTTCATTGGCCCATTTCCCACTTTTGTGTTGGCCAGCTGCAGCAGCCAAAATGCAAATGAGCAGCTCTGGAACTGGTTCTGGAGGCTGAACGATGGACGCTGGCCACTAGCCAAATAGGGAAAGGGGCCGAAAGCGAGCCGAACAAAAGGCATTAAACGGAGTGTGGCCAACTTTAAACGAACCGAAAACCGAGTGCCGACGGCATATTCCGACCCACTGCGTTTGTTATATTTTATTTACTAAGTGCAAATGTTGTTTGCAGTCATTGAAATTGAAACAAATATATATACACGCACGCCAGCACATAAAACCAAAAAATAAGAACCCAAAACGAAAAACCAGAGCGCACATACACAGACACACAAGGACAGCGGAAAAGCCTAAGCCATTTGTAGCCCTTTTGTGAGTGAGGCAAACAGCAGTAACAAACACGCAAACTTAGCTGCCTCATCATGCCGCCATTAATGTGCATGTGTCCGTGGGTGTGCTTTGTTGTATGTGTGTGTGTGTTTGTGTAAAAGTTATAGTAAAAGCGAGACGCACGTATTTTAATATGTGCCCCAAAGCAGAAGAAAAATCGCACGTACGTGACTTCATTTGCTCTGCTCTGTCCCAATGCCTCTGGCTCTACTGTCCTCTGTCCCCTGACCCCAGCATTCAGCCATCTTTTTGGGCAGAGTTGCCACCGTCGGTTGGTCCTGCCAACAGGATTGCCACGCCGCTTAGTGTCCGTGGTGTCCGGGAATTATTATTTACTAATTCGCAATTATAAAGCCTTTTGAGAGCAACGATTACCGCTTAAATGCCGCCCGAATTGCTATTTTAATCGGCTTGAATTTGATCACCACTCTATCGGCTTATTTATTTTATGATTTAAAACGATGTATTTATCGCAAGACGCTTTGTAGATACAAAAAGCTCAGACAATATTAAAGCAAAAATTTAATTGGCAAACATATATTCAATTAAAGGAATTCCAAATTACTATTAAGGTCGTTGTGGACTTTAAAAACATTTATTGGTATATTTAAATCGAATTTTTTGAAGCTTAACTAAGTAAAAACAACTGATCTTTATACCCATTTATTGTTTATTTATTTTAAACTCTTCAAACCTTCATTTTTTGCGTCCACCGTTGCATAGATTGACTTAACCTTTAAGAAACACCCAATTGACCTGTTCCCCACCTCACACAGAAATATGATTTTGCCGTGTCCTGTCTGCTTCTATTCTGGTCCTTTGGCAGCTTTCCAATTTACCGTGTTAACCTTTTCCCGAGCGTACCCAGAGTCGTCCCTGTTGGGCAAGGACGAATCAATAGCGTCTGGGCCGATCGCTGTCTGGACGCGCTCGTGCGTGCGACACATGTTTTAATTAATAAATGCCTTTGTCAAATCACCTGACATTAGGCCAGGATGCCGAGGTCCTGAAAAATGCGCCTCATAAGTTATTCGCGCGGTAGGAATACAGGAGCAATGGCAACGCTGCCGGACCATACAAAATTAGCGTCATTATGCGAGAAACAGTTGCACGCCTTTCAGCGATCCCTGCCTGTACAGATAGGCATATATTTGTCTAATAACAACAACAATCATGCCTAATGCTGATGATGATGGGCACGCACTGAAAGCAAATCAAACGTAGAGCTCGATAAACCAAATTGTGGGGGATATAGAGGGTACGCACGAGCGGGTGTGTCCGTGTGTCGCACGTAACGAATAAATGGCCGCTGCCTAGCGGCGGATAAGCAGCCGAAAAATAGGCAACATTGCGACTTTCCCAACTGCATAGCCATTTTCTTCTTTTTTTTTTTTGATCCCCCTTCCCTTGTAGCCCACCGAATGTATCTTTTTATTTGCACAGCATTTACATGATGTGCTTGCGGATTTTATTTATTTATTTCGGTGGCTTGCCTCTTTTCGCTTTTCGGTCTTTGTGGGGCCCAAAGTCGCTTGAACTGGCCGCCGAGCTCATTAGGGCCATATAAATCAAGCGATGTATTTATTTTTATTTATGAACCGCAGCTGTGACGCCTCACACACAATGGCAATGGGCAGGGGGAGGGGAAAATGGAGGGGCAAGAGGCGGGGCTCCGGCCAATTTAGTGGCCACAAACAAATTGCTCTAGATTTGTATGAATGATACTCCGCGCGAATATGTGACCATATATTTTTGGGGCATATAATGTAGAAGGGTATGTGGCAATCGGTTTGAGTTCATGTTTCTGATACAAAGTCTTATTGCAGGCCGAACCGAATAATCAATGTCCTTAGCTTGCGGTCATAAAATAAACGAGTATATACCCCTGGCCCTCACGTACATAAACGCCTTTATATGTTTGGCCGAAAATCGATTATTTAAAATAATAAACGTGAAAAATGCTCAAATTGTTCGCACATGAAGCAATCAGTCCCGCGAAACCCACAAACAAACCCATAACCAACAGACAATCTAGGGGTGTTGCTGTGGAGCGGATATTGAAAACACGGAGTGTTGGGGGACATAGACCAAACAGGCGAACAGTTGATTGAATATTTGCGCATCGTAATCATTGAAATGTATGGCATTCCAATTGACGTGAAAGGTACAACAACTGCCATAAAAAATAATAAAAACAGAGCACGCTGAGATCGATGGATAAAGCCACGTGTTTTAAATATGATTTGGTGGATTTATTTCCCCAATTTGAATTTGCGGCTCATTAATTTTATTTGCTCGCCCTGAGTAAAAGTACGGATAATCAAAATATGGTTTGTGATTGGTGCTTAAAGGGGCATCAATCATATGTATTATATAATAAATCAAAAGAATGTAAGCTCTTTGCTAATTGAATTTCTTTAATTGCCAAGGGTCTGTTCATTTATTGATGGCGTCGCTTTCATTTGCCTAAGCAGCAAATTTATATGCCAGAAATCTAGAAAATATTTAAATTACCCACAAAAATGTAAATTAAATGGCCTTTGATGTGGCATAATAAACTCGTTTGATGCAGCTCCCCAACTGGCCGTATCTTTGGCGTAAGCCTCTTGCCACCTGCAAGACAAAGGTTTGATTTATGCGATTGTCAGAAGAGAGGCCATAACTTTGTGTGTGCGTCATGACGGGAATGTCTCTCGGCTTCCTTTGGGCCCTTCGTGTTGGCCTGCTGATAGTGTTTTGTATTTTTCGGCAGCCTCTGCCTAAACTACACGCACTCAAACCCGAGCTTAAGCAGACTGACACAGTGCTGCGATAAAAACTCTGACCACGCAGGCGACAGTTAACCAACCTCAAAGGGCATGTACGTACGTCCCATTGCTGAAACCGGCTGACAGTTGTTCAAAGTTATGCTGCCGTAGTTGTAGCTATATCCAGATGACATTCACCAGATAGAAGGCTCACAGATACACACACGCACACACTCACATACGTTTACTGGCTGAATATGACGAGTTTTTTTGTGGGCGAAAAAGTTTCGCAGCCCGATTCGCTCGCTTTTTTTGTCGCTTTTTGGGCGGCAACAAAAAAGGACACAAGTAATTGAATTTCAATCGCAAAACCCGCACACACCAAAATACACACACACAGACGGGCAATTGCTTGTGCATATGTATTTGCAGTACACAAAGTGAAACGACAAACAACTCGTAATGCGGAATTTTCATATTAAATCCGCTTTTCAACAGCCGCTCAAATACTCTCGAAGCCAGCGAGTGTGTGTGTTTTGCGCATCTTTTCGAGTGAGTTGAAAATAATGGCAATTTAATTCAGGGTCACTAATTTTTCTGCCACATCGCACAAGAAGACCGCATCACCATCCGAGTCCAGGCGAAAAGCGAAAGGCAAGGCGAGGCGAAGCGAAGCGAAAGGCGACATTGCTCATACGCCACGTTGACAGCTTAGCCCATGAATTTCACCCCGGCGTTCGGGTGCGTATGTGCGCTTGCCTTGGCATTGCTGGCTGACTTCTTAAGCTGTTTAATCTAATGTAGCGCAACGCTCACACTCCAGGCCATCGGGCTGAAAGCCAAACACCAGCAGCCACTTTTAAGCACTTTGAAACTCATTTCCTACCCTCAGCCACATTGACATGCACACTATGCGTGGGTAGGTGAGCTTTAGTGTGTGTGTGGGAATTAGGGCGGTTCGATTTTTAAAAACCAAATATAATAATTATAATCTCACTATCTTTGATATCAAATTTTAACAAGTTTTTATTTTATGCTTTAAATTATGTATATACAGTTAAGTTAATTTAATACCTTGTTGATTTTAAAGATTAAAGATTAAAACTGTGAAACAATACTAAAAAATAGCTATTATAATCATTGTTTGTGTTATTTATTTATAATATTGTATTAATGCTATTTCTAAATAGTAATTGCTTACAATGCTATATAAACCAT